GGCCAAAAGCCTCGTGCAGCTGGGCACAGAAAGGGTAACACAGGCACCAGGGATCCTTCCCAGTCCCACTGAGGTGGGGAGCTGGCTGAGAGCTGGGTCTGGCTGCTGCCCACACCTGGATGGAGCCTTCAGCAGTGGGATCACAAAATGGTCTGGGTTGGAGCCTCAAACACCATCCAGCTCCAGGTGACAGCACTGAGCCCTGCCTGGGTGGCAGCAGTGTGGTGTTCAGGTGCTTTGCAGCACCCAGTCCCTGCCCTTCCCATCCCTTCTCCTGGGAAGGGCTCAGCCCATGCAGCAGGAGCTGCTCCTCATCCTCACACATCCCCTGGCACTCACAACAGGGCCCTCTTGCCTCACTTTTACTGAACAGAAGCCAACTCCCAGCCTCCACAGCTGCTGCCAATGCATCTCCCAGCACTTTTGGGAGTTTCCCTGAGCTCTCTGGTGTTTTGAAGCCATCCCCAGAAGCTGTTGGGTGACTCACCAGAGGGATGTGAGGGCAGCACAGGTGCTGCCCAGCTGAGGCTCCCACTGGGATGGCATGATGGGAAAATTCCATGGGCACACAGGGGCTCACAGGCTTGATTATAGCTCCATAGACCCTCAAATGCTGAGCTACAGCCCTTCAATAATTACTGTTCATCTCCCTCCCCTGGATCTCAGGAAAACAAACCCAGCTCCAGCCCTGGTTACCTGGAGATGCTGAAAGCAGATTCAGGTGCATGGAGTATTGAACCCAGACACAAGTTCACCCCAAATCTGGCAAGTTGGAGTTTAAAATAGTGTGTGTTGAGGGTGTGTGTGTTCTGGGAGAGGAGCAGCACCGTTTCTCCAGGGCACCTTCTCCATCCCAGGATCATTGCTGGCACGCAGCAGCTGAGGAGGAGTGGACAGGTGAGGGACAGGGATGAGCTCAGGGTGGTGTGGGGTGTGCAAGCTCAGCTCCAGTGAGGTCTCTGCCCACGGTGTGGCCTGACAGCAGTGCCCTCCCCTATGACGGGTGTTTACAGAGCTGGACAGGATCCCTGGAGCCCTCGTGTCCACGTCCCTCTGGCTGCAGGACACCAGGGTTCTACAAGGTCAGACCCTTCCCCCAGCTGCATCCCTGAGCTGGGGACCTCCAGGAAAAAGCCATGAGCTGGGAAGCTCCAGGAAAAAGGCACTGGTGGGATGTTGCTGGCAGGTTTGGTGGTTGGTGGCCTCGTGCTTGGTCCCGGTGGTGCTCCGAGTGCAGCGTCAGCTGGATTTTGGCAGCTCTGAGCCCTGGCCCCTCACTGCCCACAGGCCTGGCCCCAGGGAGGCAGGGAGAAGGTGGCATGCTCACGTCTGAATACAACATGTTCCCCAGGCATGTTTGTTAACATAGTCACAAATAAACATTTTGCAAGATTTTTGCCAGGAGGACGGGCTTAATGTGTGTGGGAGCCTTGAAGGACAGGAGAAAGCCAGTGCAGCCTATCATGTGGGCTCTGGTCTGGCCTCCCCAGCACTGCTGGGGCAAGGGAAGTTGATTTCTCTCTGGGGAGTGCATTACTCAAGTCCCTGTGCACAAATTGAGAAGCAAATCCCATTAATCCAACCTGGAGGGAAATAATATCATGGTGCTGGGGGAGGGTGGAAGGGCCAGCAAAACCCACCAGGAACCACCCCAGTCTCCCTGTCCTCCCCACTGGCAGATCTGCCCCCACTCTGCTCCCCAAAACAGCCTCTGGCTTCAGAGTGAGCAAAAGGAAAAGGCAAAGTCGTGTTCCAGCTCCTTGGGGGATTTCAGGCTTTTGGGGCAGGATGAGCAATCTCAGCCCTGGGAGAGCTGTGGGGTCCCAGGGGGCAGCAGGGCCAGAGCTGAGCAGGGACAGGAGGGATGCCCTGGGCTGTCAGGGGGCTTCAGCCTGTGATTTTTCCAAGGATATTTTCTATATGGACCCTATAGGTGCCTAGCTCATCTTCTAACCCACAAGTCATTCATGTTTTTGCCCATCCTATTCTCTGCCCCATCCAGCTGGAGAGACAGCAAGTGGCTGGGACGAGGCTCAGCAGCTGATGGAGGCCACCCCAGAACATTTCCCCATCCCTGGAAGTGTCCAAGGCCAGGCTGGATGGCACTTGGAGCAACCTGGGCTAGTGGAAGGTGTCCCTGCCCATGGCTTGCAATGAGATGGTTTTTAAGATCCCTTCCAGCCCAAACCATTCCATGATTCTCTGATTCTCCTGGCGGCTGTGGCTGCCCCTCGGTAGCCCTGGAGCATCACCCAGTGCCGGTAATCGGTGCCTCCAGCGGGAGGGAGCCCTGGAGCCGGGGCTGGGATAACCGGGAGGGCTGGAGGGAGGGATGGCACACGGCGCTGAGCGCAGGCTGGCAGCTCCACACGCGATCACACAGTCCCCTCTAGTGGATATTCCTCTTCCATCCACATCCCATCCACACGGATGCCCTGCCCGCACTGCCTTGGCACCGCCGGGCTCCAAACCTGGTGCCAGCAGTGACCCTGGGGCACCATCCCGCTCTTCTCCTCAAACTGGGCACGGCGGCAGAGCAAAGCCCATCCAGCTGCCTCCAGCTGCTCCATCGCTTCCTCCTCTCCTTCCCCTCCTGCGTATTTGGGTGACTCATCCTCCCTCCAGCCCCGTCCCTGCCCTGGCTTTGTCCCACGCCACCCGCTGCCCTTGCGTCAGGGCTGGCCCCGGCTGCCCCTGCGTTCCTGGCTCTCCCCTCCGCTGGGATTTCACACTGCTCCGAGGTATTTGGGCAGTGGCCAACACGAGCACGAGCTAATGAGCACCAGAGCTAATGAGCACCAGAGCTAATGAGCACCCACTGGCGACTGCTTCCAGGACCTGGGGCGAGCATCGCTTGTTCCCACCCTGCCAGGACCTGCTGCCTTGGGCCAGCTCGGGCTGGGGACAAGTGGGATGCTCTCAAGTGGGAATCCCCTGAGGGGGGTGAGTGTTTGCACATTTGTCCAGCAGCTCCTGCCCATGGGAACGGTGCAAAGGCTCCCACCAGCACCTTGAGCACTGCCCTGTGCCCTCTGTACCACCTCCTTACCCCTCCTCTCTGCCTCTGCCTGCTTTGGAAACTGCTTATCACCTGGAACTTATTTGATATCTGCAACCTGAGGCTTTTCAAGGGAAAAAAAGCCACGTAGGAGAGCATGGAAGAACAGACACAGCTGCAGACCAGAAGTTCATCATGCTCCATTGGGATGCCCCACTCCATTAGGTGCCCTTCCAACTTGCCCCATCTTGTACTGGAAACATGACACTGGTCCCAGTGCCACCATCCAGCAGCCCCAGCTCAGGCAGAGCTGATGTCAAACCCCCTGCCCCCATCCCTGGGCCAGGGAAGGACGGGGTCTCCTCTGGGGAGCTGAGGCCTCCAGTGAAGGCCAGGGCAGGGGGGATGGAGGAGGAGCTGTGGCCCAACACTGGCTGCCAGGAAGCCCCAAAAAGCAGCTGGAAGGGCAGAGAGATGCTTGTTGCTAAACCAGCCCTGGAACAGCTCTATGGGCCCCACAGCAGCATCCTGGGGAGGTGTACACCCAGTTCTGTTTGAGCTGGCAGCTGAATCACCTTGTCCCCATGCTGGCCAGGAGTCCCTTGGTGTCCCAGCTCCAGCAGGACTACAGGTGTGACCCTGGTAACCCCTTGTGTCCCATCCTGGAGCCAGGCCAGTACAAGGAGCACGCAATCAGGTTCTGCCCTGTAATTCTGATTTTCCCAGCCCTGCTGGGATGATCCCACAGTCCTCCTTCCCTGGCTCTGGTCCCGTGTGTCCAGCTGGGCCATGGCACTGCTCACAGTGTGCAGGTTCTGGTCATGCACAGGGATTCTCATGGCACAGCCCCACAGCAGGGAGGGGAGTCCACAGACACTTCACAGGAGTGTGTGGATGTGGAGCAGCCAGCAGTGATGGATAAGGCATAAAATCCCAGGGAGAGGCAGCCTATGGCAGTCCCAGCCCCTTTTGTAGCTTCTGCTCTGTGGCCCAACAGGACACACACTTCACAGCTTTATTTATTAGAAAAGATCTTTAGGAAGATGAACTCTACCCCAAACCACCCCTTGGCTTTATTTCTGCCCACAGGGACTGTGTCTAACAGGGTGATGGCACTGCCAGGGCAGCAGGGCTGGTTCCAGGTTTCCTGGACAAGGGGACATTCCCAAACCTGCCCATCCCCACACAGAGCCACGGCTGGGAAACTGCAAACCCCAAACTCCATTTCCAGGCAGCTGGATGCCAAACAACCCAGTGTTTATTGCAGTGCTCCTCATGTGCCTCAGGTTTATAGATGTACATTCAAAAAGAAAAGCTCTGTGTATCTCAGCTGGACACAGACAGGCTTGAAGGACGAACGAGCCGATCCATCAGCGATGGAGTCACCTCCAGGTCCCGAGTGTGGGAGCAGACAGTGCAGCTACCAGCTCAGGATCTCTGTGCATGGAGCTGGAGCCTCAGGCATGAGAAACTCCAGCTCTGCTTTCAAGTATATTTGGTGTGGTGTATTTATCTCTGGCATCACATCTCACCACGGGGAAAAGTCCTGCTGGCCCCAGAGAGCCACATCCCTCGGGTCAGCCCCAGCCTCGGGGGAAGATGAGAGGTTTGGGTGGCTGCTGGAGAGATGTGCCAGCTCATTTTGGCTCAATAAGCAGGGAGAAGGCTCTGGGGAGCTTGGGCAGCTCATATTTACATGGTACCATCAGAAAAAAACCAGCTTGGACCCCATGAGGTCACCCTGGCTGCACAGAGGGGCCAACAGCTGGTGGAGGGCTGGTGGAGCCAGGGGGTTCCTGATGTTCAGCAGCTGCAGAAGCTGCCCATGGTGCTCCCACACTGTCCCAGTTCCCAGCCTGCAAACCCCCCAGCCAGCTCTTGGCCAGGGGGCTGCACATCCTAAATAGACCCGTCCAAACCAAACCCACTGCCCAGAGAAGCACACAGTGGCTTAAACAGGAAAGAAAAATGAAAAAAAAAAGAAAGAAAAAAAGATGCTTGTGGTATGTAAGTCCTACTGCCCTGGGCCAACCATGCTGACTTTCTAAACAGGGCAAGCCCCAAGTGAAGAGAGGCCCCATCCCTGGCCCTGCAGCACCCAGGGAAGGCACAGGTTCCAAAGCACCAACTCCAGAACCCCTCCAGCTCCTGGGTACAGGAGGGGTCTGGCTGCCACTGCTGAATTACATTATTTGTTGGTTATGTAGCTTCAAGTTCGTGTCCATTTGTTGATGGGGTCCACAGGAGAGGAGAGAGACAAAGCAAAGGTGTGAGCACGGGGTTCAGGGTGGCAAATCCCAGCCAAGCCCTGGCCACCACCTCTGCCTGGGGGGTTAAGTGTCCAAGTGGGGGAATTTTACTGCTGCAGCCAGCAAGTCCTTGGGCCAGGAGGGCAGTGGGATCCTGGACAGCGTGGGGACACACAGCAGTGGGGGCCAATGGCCTCTGTGGTGTCATCCCTGGGGCTCTGCCTGGGGTGGCTCAGCAGCAGCTCCCGCTGGGGACAGCCAGGCTGTGGCTGCCCTGTGGCAGTGCCACAGGCAGGGAGGGGATGCCAGGCTCTCCCAGCAGCTGGGATGTCTCTCTGAGGCCAGCAGCAGCAGCAGCAGCAGCAGCTTTCTCCTGCCAGACAGGTGGCTGAAGTTCAAGACTGGACTGCTGCAGGCTCAGAGAAGCAAAAATGAGACAAACAAGGGAGGAAGAGGCTGTGGGCACAGCTATGCCAAAACCAACCCTCTTGGAGCTGCCCCTTGGTCTAAACCCTTCCTTTTTGGGGGCCAACTGCAGCTTCCCAGCAGAGCTGGCTGCTCCCAGAGCTCAGCAGCCCCTGCACTGTCCCCTGGCAGAGGGGGCTGCTCCAGCTGTGATCCCTTTGCACCAGCCAGGCACTGAACACCTCTGCAGGGGCTGAGAGCCAGGGGAGTGGGGCTGGCAGCACACTCTGTCCCCAGACATCCAGAGCTGGGACATGGTGGAGCTGCAGAACAAACCACCCTGGGCACCTCTCACGGGCTCCTGTGCTGCTTTTGGCCAGGGTAGAGTTAATTTTTTTCACAGCAGCTTGTATGGGGCTCTATTTTCTGTGAAGAAAATTAACTCTACCCTGGCTGAAACCTGCACAGCTCCCCAGACTTTAACAGCAACATCCCCCCAACATCTTCCCTTGCAGTATGTGAGAACTGCAGACATCATCCACGGATGTGCTTGTGACAATTCCCAGTGCAGGGAGCCTGGACAGCCCCTGCCTGCTCTCCCTGCCCTTCCAGCCACCCCTCTCCCCAGACCCAGGCACTGCCAGGGGGAAAGATCTCCTGAGGCAGCCCCTTGGGATGAAACCTTGCTAAACAAGAGCTAAACAAAGCACATGATCCCTGGCCATGCCGTGGAGGGGAGGTGCAGAGCTGGTCTGTGCCTTGCAGGGCCCCAGGCAAGGGCAGTGACACCCTGAGGGTGACCTTGTCCATCAGGAACACCAGGCTGGCCCTGTGGGGGTGCAGATGCAGCACAGAGGGCAATGCCCCCTCAGCCAGGCTGTTGGGTCCACAGGCACAATCCTGGGCTGGGCTGGGCTGGGGTCTGTTTTTCAAGTCCAGGTGACTGTGGCGCTTCAGCTCACCCTCCTCTTCCTCTGTGCAGCAGGGACAGCCTCTGTCTGTCTGTCCATCCGTGGTTGTGGCCTTCAGCAGGACTCCACAGGGACACAGGCAGGTGGCTGCAGCCCCAGGTGGCCCTGGGGGCTGGTGTTTAGGTGGCCTGGCCGGGTGGGAGGCGTTTGCTGTCCAGAATGGCCTTCCAGTCATCAGCCCAGGAGTGCAGCCGGCGGCTGGGGGGCTTCAGCTGCAGGTGCTTGTTGTGGCAGGCAGTGAAGAGCACGTGCTCCCAGCTGGGGTTCTGCTCTGCCCCTGCAAGGGAAGGGAGGTCAGTGCTCTGGACAACTCCGTGGGACACTGAAGTTGACTTTACTCCAACATGAAGACCTCAAAGTTACAAAAGTCAAACAGCACAGAAAGACCAAGACCCATCCCTGGCTGCCTCCAGTCAGTGCTTCACCCTCACCCCTTCCTTACCTGTTATATCAGGTCTGTCATCTATAAGCAGATCAGCAGAAACCACCGTCTTATCTCGTGTCAAAACAATCTGCTCAAGAAATTCTGGGCCAAAGTGCTTCTCAACCCAGGCATACTGGAAGGCAAGAGATGGCTGGTGAGCTCAGGGAGGGCTGATGGATGGGCAGGGGGTGGAGTGGAGGCAGCCCTGGCCCCCACACAGGGAGAATATCTCTCTTAATTAAGTTCATTAGTGGGATGGATTTGGATGCTGCTGGAGTAAAAGTTCTTTGAAAGCCAAGCAGCTTTTGATGTCATGATGAAAGACTAAGACCAAGAACCTCATTGCATGCAAATGGATGGAACAGGTAAATTTTACAGCCAGAGGCATGCAGGGGTCAGACACCTTTCACTGGGCAGTGTGGATGGGAGGGGGAGCTGGGATTTGGGCTTGCTCACCTTCTCATAAGGGCAGTACCGGTACTTCTTGATTGGGCTCGTGCAGATGAACACATCAGTGCTGCCACAAGGAGAAAAACAGGGCCAGAGTGTCATTCTGGGCCAGAGCAGGCAGCAGCCCCAAGCCAACCCCCACCACACACAGATCAAACAGATTTAACACATTAATCCCCCATCTCCCAGAATCCCACAGCACAATTGTATTCCCCTTTTCACAACCTTTGCTGGAGCAGAGAGCTGAAGGGAAGAGGCTGCACATGGCTGATCTTCTAGGTGACTGCTCCAGGAGTCAAAGCCCTCTCTCCCCTCCCTTCCCTGATGGCTGGGAGATATTTATTTTTAATGCTGCTGTTGTATCAGCACTTCTGCCAAGAGGTGGAAGTGAAGACACAGCTGCTCCTCTGTCCATCCCCACAGACAGGTTCATACTCACTCTGCCAAATTTGCCATTTGCTTCACAGCTTCCACAGCCCCAGGGAGTGGGTCCAGCTCAATGAAGAAGTTCTTGGATTCCCAGATGCTGATGGCTTTTTCCTGTGAGGGTAAGGCAAGCAGTTACTGCACTTCTTGCAATTTTTCCTGCATGTGCATCCTCCTCACCCTTTGCTAGGACAGAGGAGGGGACAGGGAGAACAGTGGGAGCACCAGCTCCAGTCCCTCCTGCTCACCCCCTCTGCCTCTGTGGGTGCCTCTGCTCCCCACCCACCACCCTGCACCCACCCCATACAATCCAGATTGGAGATGGAACAAAAAAACAGGGTTGGTTTTGCCTCTGAAGCCCCACAACACAGAGGGAGCTGCACCTTCCTGTAAGGCCAAACACCAGAGATTATCCAGATCTAAACCAAACCCATCCAAGGACAGATCCACGTGGATCCAGCTGACATGGCCTGGTGGCCCTGCTCTACCATGGTGCTGCTCAGGCACAGGTGCAGTCTGGCCTATTTGTCTCCATGAGATCACTTAAAATAGCAGCCAGGCTGCTCTCCCAGGAGCAGGAACATTACAGGAGGAACCACATGTCAGGATGAATGCAGATGCTCCTCCTCAGGGAAGCCTGGACAAGGTCTAGCAGGCAAATAGAGCATCTCCAGGCAAGGATTTGAAACACAACATCCAGGACAGCAGCCTGGGTGCACTGGTATGGCACAGGGAGAACAGAGAGGAGATCACAGGGAGCAAAACCTTGGGGTGAGGGCAGAGTCCAGGGGCTGCCTGCCATGGGCCCAGCACAGCTCTAAGGAACAGCAGCCCCTGCACTGCCTCAAACAGGTTAACAGCTTGCCAGGTGCCAAGGAAAGCTATTATCTTGCACAAACACTGTCTCCTCAGGGAGGAGAGCTGGGAAGAAGCAAAAGTAGCCAAGCCCCAGTGCTGTGGTGCAGCTGAGGAGCTGCAGATGCAGAAATGCCTCCAGGCTCCATGGCAAAACCAGCCAGCCTGAAAGTTTGCCAGGAGGCCATGCAAACCTTCAAACTCCAGTTGATCTGCCTCAGACTGAGCAGTAATGGGATTTTATTTTTAAGATATTGTCTGTAGTTGCACGAGAGACCCCAGAGAAACACAGCCTCGTGCAGCAGAGCACTTCAAACTGCACTGAAGTGTTCTCTTACAGCAGCACTTCCACAGCTATCCCGCTTCCAATTATGTCAAAAAGCATTCTGCAATCAAGCTTGACGAGGGGAGAACTAAGCTCAGCTTGAGGAAAAGACCCACTCCACTCCCAGAGCCAGAAAAATTCCTTGTGGCACCATGACCGGCATGCTGACCAGCAGATGGAAAAATCCCCCAGGCTGGGAATCCCACCATGGGCCAGGACAGACCCTCAGCCCCACAAGGAATTTCCCTGCCTGTCCAGGGCTCTCCATCCCTCCAGGTCTGTGTGCTTGCTGCATTGCTGAACTCCCTCCCTTTCAGAGCTGGGACCTGCAGCTCCTTGAACTCTTTGGCTCCTATTTTCTGGTCCCAGAGACTAGAATGGCCCACGTGTCTGTAGCAGCTCCTACTCACTTCAGCCCTGCCCTGAAACCATGGGGAAAACCAGGACTGCCCTGAGGTCAGACAGTGCAGGTTTTGCTACTTGTTCAGCCCAAGGTTTTGGTGGTTTTACATGATCACAGCAGACACAAGATGAGCTCACTTCATTTAACACATCCAAAGTAGTTAGGATCAAGGAAGAAAAAAATTGTTATAATGTGTTACCCCTGCCAAATAGGGGTTAGAGCAGCTGCTTTACTGCACAAATGATGTCCTGCACTTCCCTCTCACCACTCCCAGCCAGGAAGGACACTTTATTCCTTCAGCTCATCAAGCTGTTTAGGACTTTGCCCATGGGAGAGTCCTGGACCTTATTCCCACTCCTTTCCCTGCAACCATCACACTCCTAACAACAGGAACACTTTTATTTACCATAACACATTTCAGCCAGTGCAACTGTAACCCATGGATGAGACCACAGACATCCACTGGGATGGGAAATTTGTAGAGGCAGAAACCAACTCTCTACAGCAGTCAGCCTGTTGCTGAATGCTAAATTACAACATTGAGAGAGCTTCTGCTTTTAAGCTTTAATTATTAAACTGAATATAATAATTTCTGGCATGGGAGGGCTTGGGTTGTTTGAACCTTAAGTAAGCCTTCAAATGAAGCAACAATTGCTTGGTTTGTTCTGAATCGCTCTTCTGCATCCCACCCCTCACATTGCTCTTGAGGAGCTAAATAATCCGTCTAGGAATGGTACCAATCCAAATCAGAGCTAGAAAAAGCCAGCTATACAATCTGGGGTATTTCAAGACAGATGTTCTGAAATACCCCCTTTCCTTGCATCTGTCTCCATCCAGGCATGCAGAGAAAAAGCCCACTAGACCATCATATCAGCCTGGTCTAGTGGAAGATGTCCCTTCCCATGACAGGAGGTTGGAACAAGATGCTCTTTAAGGTCCTTATCAACCCAGCATTCTAGGATTCTAAGAAAGACACAGACGTGCACAAAAAAAAATAGATTTATGGGGAAAAACCCACTACTGGATGCCCTCCTGTATTCCTGTGGGAGCTTTTTGGTGGCCCCCACAAGGAACAGCACTGTTCCCATGACCTGGGGCTCAGAGGGTCCCTGAGGAGGACAAGCCCACGCGGGGGAAGCACAACTCACACTCAGCTCGGGTCCCAGGCGCCCGTACTGCTCCGACACCCAGAAGCCCCTCCGGTCCTCCAGGGCAATGTAGGGCTTGTCGGGGTACCTGGCCCTGAATTTCTTCAGGAAGCCTCCCTCGAAGTCGGCCAGCACCCCGTCCATGTCCACCAGCACCCGCAGGGCCCGGCGGGACCCGGCTGAGGGGCCCAGCCTCCGGCCCAGCCCGGCCAAGGCGCCGCAGCCCCGCCGGGGCCGCAGGTGCAGGAAACAGCTCAGCAAAATCATCCTGGAGAGGAATTTGGGGAGGGGGGATCTGGGGGATTTGGGGCAGGGGACTCAGGGGAGGGAATGGGAGGCTCAGGGAAGCAGGGCCAGGGTAGGGGATGGGGGTTTGGGGCAGGGAATGGGGGCTCAAGGAAAGGGATGGGGGACTTGAACAAGGGGATGGGGGCTCAGAGTAAGGGGATTCAGGGAAGGGGATGGGGCTTGGAGCAGGGGAAGGGGGCTCGAGGAAAGGGATAAGGGGGTTGAGAAAGGGACTGGGGAGCCTGAGGAAGGGGATGGGGCTTAGAGCAGGGGAAGGGGGCTCAGGGAAGGGCAAAGGGGCTTGAGAAAGGGATGAGGAGCTTGAGGAAGGGGATGGGGCTTGGAGCAGGGGAAGAGGGCTTGAGGAAGGAGATAGGGGGGTGAGAAAGGGACTGAAGAGCTTGAGGAAGGGGATGGGGCTTGGAGCAGGCGATGGGGCCTCCCAGAAGCAGATGGGGGCTCGGGGCAGGGGATAGGGGGCTCAGAGCAGGGCTGGGGGGCTCTCCAAGCAAAGGGGGTGCCTCTATTTCAAGCAGGCACCGAGGCAGCGGGCAGCCCTGCCGAGCGCATCCCTTTGCAGCAGGAGGAAGGAGGAGGAAGGAGCGGCCGGGGGGTGCACGGGGGAGCGGAGGGGCAGCCGGGGGGGATGCAGGGACCCGTCCTGGCCCCCAGCGCGTCCTCTCCGTGCCCGCCCCATCCCTCCCCGGCAGCGAGCGCGGAGGGGCGGCGGGAGGGCAGCGGGGACAGCGGAGCTCGCCCCGACCCGGCAGTGCAAAGCCCAGTTCCTCTTCCCGGTGCCTGCCGAGCCCGGAGCGCCGGCACCGCCTTAAAGCGGCACAAGCGCCCTGCGACAGCGCAGCGGCTCCGCCGCCCGCCTGCCTTAAGGCTGCCTCGGCACCGCTGCTCTTCCCCTCCCTGCCTCAGTTTCCCTCGCTGTCAGTCTTTGAGATACCCACTCCCTCTCCATGCCCGTGTCTGCCTGCAGAGGTGGTGGGTACATCTGGGGACACACGTTAAAATGGTGATTTTCTGCATGAAACGCACTCGTTTCTGACAGTTCTTTGACAGCCGTGTGACAGGAACCCTTAAAAGCCGATGCCCGGAGCCCAAAGAAGCACGCACTGTACCAAGAAGGGCTCGGTGTTCTGACCAGACACCAAAGATCTGTTCAAAAAACCACTTTGGGGGTTAAAGGTGATGGAGAAGAGGGAGTTCTCCAAGTGGTAATGACAGGATTAGGCAACCACTGAGCTGGGAAATAAAAGTTTCTGCTCGACAGCAATAATAAGATTCTAAAATACTTAATTTTTCAAGTCCAGAATGTTTTCAAGTGGAATGTATTGTCCTTGATCCATAGAGAGGGCAAACTGCTGTTGGGATCGGGTGACCTAGGGAAGGTCACGGAGGGAGGGAAGGAAGGAAGGAAGGAAGAACTGGCTGGACACGATGGTGATCTCAGCTGAGGCTGGGAGGGGAATGTGTCAAGTTCAGGTCTGTGTTTTGCTTTCACTTGCACCGCAGGCGTTTTGCTTCCTGCGAGGAACGGGATTTCAACACAGCTGGGTTTTCCTGACTAAGCAGGGAGGGAATGCATGCAAATTTATGGCTCCCCAGGGCAGTGGTCAGGGCACGGAGCCTGACAGCTCAAGGAGCATTTGGAGAACGCACTCAGGCACAGGGTAGGATTTCGGGCTTGTCCTGTGCAGGGCCAGGAGTTGGACTGGACGGTCCCTTCCAGCTCTGGATATTTTACAATTCTGTGATCTCCACTCAGGCTTCCATCACCTTCATGGATACCGAACGACCGACACATTCCCTGCAACAGCTCCGGGACACGCTGCTGCAGCTCCGGAGGGATGGAAAATACAGAACACGTATTAACCTGAGGGATTTACATCCCATTCCCTGACACCAGAGCACACATTCCACGCAATGAGGCCCCGCCAGAGGGGACAAAAGGGATTAAACCTCTGCTGGTGCAGCGCGGCCATTCGGGCAGCGGGAGGGACCGGCCACCCGTGTCGGGGAGGGCCCGGTGTCGGGGAGGGCCCGGTGTCACGGGTGGCTCGGTGTCATGGAGGGCCCGGTGTCACGGAGGGCCCGGTGTCGCAGGGGTCTCCTATCGCAAGGGCCCTCATGTCGCGAGGCCCCAATGTCGCCGATGTCGCAGCTGTCGCGCAAGGCCTCGTGTCGCGGAGTGCTGACGCGCCGTGACGTCACCACCGCCCCCCCTCCGGCGCTGCTGAGTCACGGCCCCTCCCGCGCGCCTGACGCGGGCTCGGCGGTTGCCATAGCGACCGCGCTTCTCGCGAGAGGCGGCGGAAGCGGCGCGCGGGCGGCGGGCGTCGCGCGGCCCCCGCGGCGGCCCCTGATTGGCGGGCGGCGGGCGGCGGCTCCCGGCGCGCGCCGCTCCCCCCGCCCCGCCCCTCCGGCGCGCGCGGCCGCGGCGCGAGCCGCCAAGATGGCGTCGGCCCTGGAGCAGTTCGTCAACAGCGTCCGGCAGCTCTCGGCCCAGGGTGAGGGGGACGGGGCCCGCCGGGGCCACCGGGAGGACGGGGCGGGCCCGCGGGGCCGAGGGAGGACGGCGAAGACCGAAGGAGCTCGTCAAACCGCGCGGGTGGCGGGGCGGCGGGCCGGGGCCTGGCCGCTCGCACGGCGCTCCCTCAGGCGCGGGTCCGGGGCGCTGCACCCCCAGCGCGGCGGGGCCCGGGCCGGGGTCAGTTCGAGGCAGCCCCGAAGGGTTCCCGGAGGTGTGACAGGGCACGGGGGACCGGCGGGGCTCTCACGGAGCTCCGTGGGTCTCCCAGGGGTGGTTTCGGTAGCGGAGCCCGCACCGGCGATCCTGCCAAAATCCGAGCCTTTAAAATAGGGGGAGGAGCGACTATCGCTAGGACTTTAAATGGGATTGTGCGGCCCAGCCTGTCATCTCCCTAAGGAACGGGCAGGTTGTGATGAGTGCGGTTTAAAATAAATTTCTGAATTGTCCCAGTGTCTGTGCTCTGCGTTTGCAAAGCAGAGCGTGGCCAGAGAGTCCCGCCCCACCACGGAACTGTGTGACAGATCTGAGACTGTACCCACGTGTCCACAGAGGGTTTTAATAATCACGCTTAGAATTCCTCCCTTTCACTGCCAAATTCCTAATTTTACTGTGTGTGGGCGCAGCGTTTCCTGGTTCTTGAACTTTCCCTCTCTGTTGATGCTCTGTGAAATGTGTTCTGACTCGTCTCTGCCTGGGATGTTTTCTCCCAGATCTGATCAAAAATTGATGTTTCCCACCATGGCCCCAGGTTTTATCTCTTGTAGTTCTTGGGTTGAGCTCCAACTTTCTCTTACTCTGGTTCCACTTAATAAATACAAAGTGTTTCTACTTTAGAGACAATTTAGAGACTGCAGGGCGTGGGTACAAACCCGATGGAAGATGGATCTTTGTTCTGTAGTTGATCTGGAGAAGTTTCTATCAGAGAGTTTTGGGGATGCAGAAGGCTCTGGTTGGCCTTGTGGAAGTTCTCCCATTAGGGATGAGCCAGGGAGATGCTCTCTGTGAGAAAGTCCCCAGCACAGTAAGGACATGGATTTGTTGGAGCAAGTCCAGATGAGGCCACCAAGATCGTTGGAGGGATGGAGCTTTGTGGAGAGGCTGTGAGAATCTGGATTGTTCAGCCTGGAGAAAAGAGGAGGCTCTGAGGTGGCCTAACTGTGACCTTCCAGGATCTGGAGGGAGCTACAGGAAAGATGAGGAGAGATTATTTATAAGGGACTAGAGGGACAGGAAAGGGGGAATGGCTTCATAGTAACGAGAGAATAGGGTTAGATTGGATATTAGGAAAGAATCCTTCCCTGTGAGGGTGGGCAGGCCCTGGCACAGAATTCCCAGAGAAGCTGTGGCTGCCCCTGGATCCCTGGAAGTGTCCAAGGCCAGGTTGGACAGCGCTTGGAGCCACCTGGGACAGTGGGAGTGTCCCTGCCCATGGCTGAGGTTTGGGATGAGATGATCTTTGAAGTTCCTTCCAACCCAAACCATTCTGGGATTCTGTGAAAGTCAGTCCAGAGCCAGCAGCCTGATGAGAGCACTCAGGAGCAATGTGTGTACTTCCTGACTGTCATTTGGCCACCTGGGAGGTGACAGGAAGGGACATTTAGTTGGGCCTGGTGCTGGAATTTCTGCTTGGACTGTAAATTGTTCAGTGTATGTGTTGGTAGAGGGATAGATCACAGAATCCCAGAATGGTTTGGCTTGGAAGAAGCCTTAAAGGCCATTTCTTTTCAACCCTTGCCATGGACAGGGGCAGCTTCCACTAGAACAGTTTGCTCAGAGTCTGTTTGTTTTGTGTTGGGGTTTTAAGGGAATGCTAAGTGATAGAACTGTAGAAGGGCTGGATTTCTGGAACAGGGAGGACACCAGAATTAGGGTTTTGCAGTGCCTGAGCACCATGACCAAAGCACAGACAGATTTACAAGCCCCATTCCTTCCCATGCTTATGCCTTTTCAAAATTCCATAGGGAGGAGAATGGTTTAGGAGGTGTTTCTGGGCTCTGGTCCCCCATTTGGAATTTTTGATCCCTCTGGCACTCCAAAACTAACATTTCATTGCTAGAATTTCCCTGCTTTTCCTCTCTCAAAGGAAAAGGCCAGAGAGCTGAGGGTAGTGTAAATCTCTCTGAATGGAGGCACTATTCCTCATTTTATGGAGACTTTTGTTAAGGGTGAGAGAATGTCTGTTTTTTCTCTCTAATCTGCAAGGATTGAACATTGAAACAATGCTCTGCTTTGAAACAATACTCTGCTTCAGAAGGACATAGTTTTAATTCATTCAGTTAATTGCCAGGGAGGAAGAGTTTGAAAGCAGTTCATGGGAATGAATCTGCTTTCTTTATAAAGGTTTTGGGGCTTGCCATGCCTTCCTCATTCAAAGTAGTCACTTTTCATATAACATTGTAGTTTTAATTTTACAAAGTAAATTTAAGGACAGGTTTTTAAATATTTTTGTTGTAGGTCTTTAATGTCTACTTCAAACTTTAATGTCTACTTCAAAAAAATGCTTATGAGCAGACCTGAAAGTTGGGTAGTGCTTGAGGACCAGCAAGGAACAAGCTCTGGTGTTTGTTTTATATTAAAAAAAATGTGGTGGGTAGAAAATTAATGCCTGTTTTATTAAAGAAAATTAAAACTTGGGGTGAATCTATTATTTCCTGCTGTTACATGAGGAAGCAGATTATAAAGAGGTGTGGGAATGGGTGAATGTTCTCTAATTAGGCTTTGACAACAATGCTTTTTATTTTTCAGGGCAAATGACCCAGCTTTGTGAACTGATCAATAAAAGTGGAGAGCTGCTAGCAAAAAATCTTTCCCATCTGGATACAGTGCTCGGTGCCCTGGATGTACAGGAACACTCACTAGGTGTTCTTGCTGTCTTGTAAGTGTTGCTTGCTTTTTAATGCTAAAAAGCATTATTATTAAATGCTTTTTAAATTAAATGCTAAACTTCAGGCAATGAGCTGAACTGTCAGACAGGCAAAGCCTTTTGTCCTGGCACTGGCACAAGTTCTTGGAGAAGCTGTGGCTGCCCCATCCCTGAGAGTGTCCAAGGGCAGCTTGGACAGGGCTTGGAGCACCCTGGGATTGTGTCCCTGCCCATGGCCTGGATTGGAGCTGGATGGGCTTTGAGGTCCCTTCCAACCCAAGCCATTCTGGGATTCCATGATAGGTGTTTTTCCATATGTGTTCAGCAAAAATATATAGAATGAGCTTTGCAAACTTTATTTCAGGGCATATTTTCACTGAGCTGTAAGCATGGAGCGAGATGTTTTATTCCAGTAAAAAACAGGCTTTTATCGTGGGTCTTGGCTGTTTGTCTTTAGACAGCACTGAGGCTCTTGCTGCTGTCTGCAGTTTAAGATAAAATTGAGTTGCCTTGGGGGTGCTGAATTAAAGTAAAGATATTTAGTCCTGAAGTTCAAACTGGCTGTGTCTGACTTCAGGTGAACTATCTGCAGGTTTCACTGCTATTGTAAAATTCTCTTTTAAGGGAAAGGTCAGAATTCTAGCACTTGTTCCGCTACTCTTTCAAAACAAAATACTGATAATACTGAAAATGATCTTTGCCATTGTAGTTGGCACTAAACTGAGAATTATGTTGTGCATAAAAAGGTGTTTTCAGATGTTATTGTGCAGATACTGGGGAAATCCTATGCCCTGTCTCATAAGCACTTTGGATTTGTTTGCAAGCACCTACATGCAGAGACTTAGCAATGAAAATGAATCTTTTTATGAACCTCCAAGCAATAAATGAAAAACCTTGTGTTTCTTTGTTTCAGGTTTGTGAAGTTTTCTATGCCCAGCATCCCTGACTTCGAAACGTTATTCTCACAGGTGCAGCTTTTTATCAGCACTTGCAATGGAGAACACATTAGATATGCAACAGACACTTGTAAGTTAAGCCTAATTCCAGACTTGATATATTTTTGGATAGTTTGGCAATACTGATTTTTCACTGAGGTGTTTTTCTTGTTTGTTTTTTACTGTGTTTAGTTGCTGGCCTGTGCCACCAGTTAACAAATGCCCTTGTGGAGAGAAAACAGGTGAGCAAGTTTCATCTAGTACAAATAAGTTACTCCATACCCAAGGCTTCAAAAGGGTGTTACCAGCCTCTTACTCCATAAAGATTTGCCACTAACTTCTCATCAAGTATTTCTGTGCAGCTCCTTAGTTAGTAAGTTTACTGAAAGGTAATAAACCAGACTCAAAATTCTAAGATTTCTCTAAGGAAAACCCAAGGAAGATAATTTTGTGGGGAGAAAAGTCACCTAAAAACATGTTCTCCCTCACAAAATAGGAGACCTGTAGTACCAAGAATGTTCTTCAGACAATGCATGGGTAGAGGAGGGAGCTGCAAGGGTTATTAGCCCTGGTGAGTCAGTGATTTTAGTTTCAGTGTTATTCTCACTGGTGTTACATAATGTTCTTAATGAAATGCCTTAAAATATGCAGGAAACTTGATTAAGAAATACTTGACCAGTGATTTTGTTGCTAAAATCCTGACTTTTCCAGGCTACTTTGGTGAAGTCTAGCCTGAGACAGACCAGATCTGATCTCTGCTTCTAAGTGGAGTGAAATGAGAACCTTGTCTTTAGTATTTGTTGGGAGTTTGGATGGAGTCATGGAATCAAGGAGGGTTTTTTATTGATACAGATTACTGTTTTCCTGGTGAGATTGGCTTTGTGGAGCAGAATTGAGGACTTTATCCAGAGAAATTGTATAGCCAAGGTTAATTTTATTTTCCAAGAGACTGCGAAATCCTACAAAAAAGGAACCTCAAGTTAACTATTACTTAATGGAACCTGTCAATTAGTGTTATTTTTCATTTGTAAGTGTCAACATAAGATCCAATGTGCTGCCATCTATGAGAAATTATCTGAAAGAGATGTAATTTCTGACAGCCCCTGCGAGGAATTAGCATTCTCAGACAAGCCATAGACAAGATGCAGATGAACACAAACCAGCTGACCTCAATACACGCAGATCTCTGCCAGGTAAGGGCATCAGAAGGGCTTTTTGTGAGAATAAAAGCTTATAAAATACCTATAAAATTGCAAGGAAATGCATGTTCGCATATTGTAGTGTAAGAATGGATTTTCAACTGAATTTTTGTTTGGTTTGTTTTTTTTTCCAGCATTAAATAATATGATCTACTGAAACAAAATCCATATCTGATATACAGATTAATTAATAATTTAAAATGTTCAGTGCATGTCCTCAGATCTTTGATTTTGCTGATGACTTCAGAAAGTCCTTTGGCATCCCTTCTCTGTGGGCTGAAAGTCACACTGAACTTATCTTGGGGGGTATCAGTGTAATATCCAGCTACTGTCTGCTCAAGGCTGCTCAAGACAAAAGTCATGTTTGTCTCAGTGTCTTTGGCCTGGATTTGTATTTCTGTCTCATTCTTGCCTCCTGGGATTCAGGGTTGGACAGGAATGTTCAGAGCAACATTTAGTGCTGCCAGCACAGTAGTCTGGCAGTCCTGGAGTTTCAAACAGCTTTGTCAGAGTTTAATTTCTTTAGGAGTCAGATAATTTCATAACAGTTCATAATCTGTGTTAAAGATTTTCAACTTGTGTTACTCCACTACTGACATACCCTGTTTCTTAACTCATGGGAGAGTGATATTTATGCAGTAGTACTAATTAATTTAGTTTCAATTCCTTCTCATGGAAACTTGAATGGAAATGGCTAATTTATGAAAACTTGATTTATTTTCTTGTAGCTCTGTTTGTTAGCAAAATGCTTTAAACCTGCCCTCCCGTATCTAGATGTGGACATGATGGATATTTGTAAAGAGAATGGGGCATATGATGCGAAGCACTTTTTATGTTACTACTACTATGGTGGGATGATATACACTGGGCTAAAGAACTTTGAAAGAGCACTCTACTTTTATGAACAGGTAACTTGAAATGATAAGTCTGAAGTGTGATGTCTGGAAAGGGAAAAGTAGATGGGTAACAGTGCTGAGAAAACATAGCACCTTTGAACTGGCCCAAGCAGACTGTCCTTGGAGGTGTTTTCCTTTAAGAAAGTCTCTCACAGCCTTATTGCACCATAAAGCTGTGCACCTCAAAGAGTGATGCTAAATTTATCTCACTATAAATATTTTTCAGCTGCCTGCTTGAAAGTGCAGCACAGAAACAGGTCATGGGCTGACACACAGTTGTGTGTCCTTAAAAAATAGTCCAGTGGTTTTGCTAAGGCCTTTGCTACTCTTATGAGAGGAGTTAGACTTCTTCAATGCTGTTATAATATTTTGCTGGTTTTGCTTTATCTGGGAAGGAAACAAAAATAGTAAAATTGGGAAAATCTTGGCTATGAAAGAAATGTTGTGAAATGTGCAAAACAAATTGGTGCAGCATTTAATGAGGGTCAGCTCTTGAGTAGTTCCAGTATCATAATGATCTAAAATCCCTTTTCCCTATTCTGCAGACCCCTGATAATGTAACAGCTTTATAAAACCTCTTTGAGGGTCTGTGTAAATCCAGGTTCACAGGTAGCTACAGATGATTTCTGGTGCAACTTTAGATACATTCCAAGGAAGGAAGTTTTGATTCTATCTGAGCAGGTCTATTTTAAGACAGGCACCACTGGAATGTGATATGTTTTGAGTAGCTTGTATAAAATTTCCTTTCTTTTGCATATGTCTGGATAATTAATTTTGACAGAAGTTAGTTAAGCTTCAGCGCTCAAAGGAGAATTTCATATGTCACTGTATCTTTTCTACATACAGCTTGAAATTGAGTTTTTTGTTCATGCAGTAACTACCAGGATCTACCAGTAAGCAGACTAAATTTCTGTTCCATTTCTTTCTTTCTTGCTTAGGCAATAACTACTCCAGCCATGGCAGTCAGTCATATTATGTTGGAATCATATAAAAAGTATATCCTAGTTTCTTTGATACTACTTGGTAAAGTTCAGCAGTTACCAAAATACACTTCCCAGATAGTTGGTAGATTCATTAAGGTAAGTATTGCAAATGCATCTAAATAATAGATTAATAAATCTGAATTTGTAAATGTGTAACAGTGGAAGGTGTCCCTGTCCATGGCAGGGGTTTGGAGTGAAATTAACTTGAAGATTTCTTCCAACCCAAACCATACAATCATCCTGTGATTGTGTGATGTCAGTGATACATGTTTTTAAAATCTGACAAAACTTCAGGGTTGAATAGTACTAATCAATATTCCTTTCACTGATACTGAACATCTCTTTATAGCTTTTTATGTTAAAATTTAAAAAATACTCAGATTTCAATTGGCTTTCAAGCTCCAGTGTCATTAGGAAAAGATTTGACCTGTAACTTCATCTGATTGAAGCACAAATTGCTAAACAGTTTACTCCCAAACCAGCTTTTTAAAGAATAAAAGCTTCTGAAAAAACTGCGAGTTTGGAGTCTGTAAGCATTCAGATTAGGGGGTGTAGGGTGGGGGACAAAACTGCTACTGAGAGAGTTCTGATCCTAAGTAACACACTTCTAAACAGTTTGTTGATTTGTAACCAAGATTCTAGAGAGTTCCAAAATTCTTCTAACTTCAGAGACTAATGAACAAGCTGAAAAGATTTTAAGGTAGTTTAGTGAACTGGTTTCACCCTCTGAGTCTCTGCTGTCGATGCTGTGACCCGATGTGGTCAGGGATGGATGTCTCAGAGCACAGAACGGGCAATACTTACCTCAAACTCAGCTGGTCAGTTGAGAGAGTTTTTTTCACACTGCTGTAACTAAAACTGTCACACCAGGGTCCTGGAATGATGCTTATTAAATGTTACACTGCAGTAATACAGATTTTAGTGTATGGGGTCTGTCATTGCCATAAAGCCACGTATGGTCACACTGGTTTTTTATGAGAAATGCCCAAACTACTTCAATTTACTTCAATGGCTTCTAATGAATAGGTTTTGTGAGGCTGGGTGAACACTGTGTTCTTCAAGGAGGGTTCTCATTTTTCTAATTGCAGCCTCTTAGCAATGCTTACCATGAATTAGCACAAGTTTATTCAACCAATAAACCCTCGGAGCTTCGAAATCTGGTGAACAAACACAGTGAAACTTTCACAAGAGATAACAATATGGGGCTGGTTAAGCAATGCTTGTCATCTCTCTACAAAAAGAATATTCAGAGGCTAACCAAGGTAAGAGAAACTGAGCAGTTTTCTTCTGAGAGTGTATTTCTGAAATATATTCAATTTAGAGCTAAATGATAACATAGTAATGTGGCAGAGAAATTACTTAAACTGAGATTTGTGTCTGAAACAAAGGAGAATGTCCTGTATAGGAAAACAAATCAGTTGGCTGCTTATGCATTATTTAAAAGGTGATTCAATCTGTTTGTCAGGGGGCTTTGCCCGTGAGGTTTTCGTAGATAATCAAAAAAGTGAGCGCTGCAACCCAGTGACCTTCATCCCTATTCAAAAAATAGGAAAACTGAACTTTACAGGCCACTTCATTAGAAAGGAGTGAGTGAATTGGACAGATTTGGAAATGTCTGAAATAAAAGGAAAACCAGAAGCACTGAAGTGATTTGCTCCTTCAGCTGAGAGATCAGATTAATCCTGAAAGGTGATTGGGGAAAGCAGTTTTTTTGCAAGCTCAAATGATATTTGCTGCAGTAAAAAAAAAAATCTCATAAGGACCTTTATATATGCATCTCTTGAAGGAAATTCAAGGGGTGGAGAGTCACCTTTTTTGTGTAAAAAGGTGAGAGAAGGAGGTTGGACATGGTCAGGACTGTCTGGTGTAGAATGAGATTGCAGGAATCAGTAATGACTCCATACGTGCTCAGTATAACAAATTAATGTCTGGAGAAAGAACTGACTCACTCTCACAAGCCCTTCAGTAATTGTGTGTTCCACTTGTTCCTTCCCATCAGACTTCCACAGCCAGGTTACACAGGCCATGAAGCTTCAACAATAAAATCCTTAACATCCAGTTTTAACACTTGAAAACTTTGTACATTTCAGACGTTTTTAACATTGTCATTACAAGACATGGCAAGTCGAGTGCAGCTGTCGGGGCCCCAAGAAGCAGAAAAATACGTCCTCCACATGGTAAGGCCTCTGACTTGGGTAAGCCATCCCAAAATTAGTGTTTGGGTTGGCAGCACACATCCTGAGCAGGGTGGAGGAAATGCTGGCAGTTTGCTGTGGTGTTGAGACTGTTCTCAAAAAATCTAAAAAGCTGTTCTCCATGTAAGATAAGGCATGAATCGTGGATTTGGGAAGCTGTGGGAAATAAAAACAACCAAGTTAAAAACAATTCCGCAAAGAGTTACCTGAAATTCTGTTCTTTGTGATAACTTCCATTAAACCCTCTGTCATTTCAGATAGAAGATGGTGAAATCTTTGCAAGTATTAATCAGAAAGATGGTATGGTCTGTTTCCATGATAATCCTGAAAAATATAACAATCCAGCTATGCTTCATAACATTGATCAGGAGGTAAATCTTTTACTTTTGGAATTCTTACCAAAGAACCTTAGTATGTAATCAGAGAGCTGCTGGCAGAAGCCAGTGTAGTAACTTAGATATAGAGAGTGAGGACTGTAAATCACTATTTGACTATTTCACTGTATTTTCATCGGTTTTAGATTAATACTTTCTGTCAGTGTGTTCCCTGTTTTGTCCTGCACAGCTTGAGCTGTTTCAGGAGACTGACTGCTTGCTGTTGGTGATGAGGAGATCCTTGAATGGATTGGAAAGATTGTTTTTAGAGTTTTAAACTTTAAGGGTCGCTTCCATTGGCTCTCAATAACCTGCCTGTAGGTGAAGGTGGTTGAGCCTCGGGGGACTCTCTATCAATGGCCTTAAAAAGGGCTGTTAGGGGGACATGGATCAAAGAAGGGAATAAAAAATGGTCTGACACTTTTCTTGGGGAGGTGAGGGATGAGAACATTTTGATGTGGAACTTTAGTGGTGGCAAAAGTTATTAGTTCTACATGGCACAGCCATGAAATTTATTGAAGATCAGGTACAAGCTAGACACAGTAATCAATTTCATAAATATTTTTAAGATGCTGAAATGTATAGAGCTTGATGAACGACTGAAAGCCATGGATCAAGAGATCACTGTGAACCCTCAGTTTGTGCAGAAGGTAATGGATTTAATGTCTTGTAAGAGATTCATTCAGTGCAGTGAGTGTGTTGTACTGAATGTCAGCATTTACAGTGTTGTCATTACACATTATTAATAATATGTGCATAAACATCATGACACATCGTAAAGATAATTTATTAATTTTGAAGGTGCTTTTCCCTAATTAATCCTGCAGTGATTTCAACCAGAAAATTAAGTGCATGTTATTTCATAGGCACTTTATTTTCCTGCCTGTTCACTTGAAAGAACTGTCATTGTCAAGCCTGCAGACCTGTTTCTGAACAGAACTAACTCTCTCCCTTTCAGAGTATGGGCTCTCAAGAAGATGACTCAGGGACCAAACCATCCAGTTATTCTTGAAATTAATGTTGCTCACCACTCCGCTTTCAAGTAAAAGCTTATGAAAGAATCACGCCTGGAGCAGGGCATTGAGGAGTTCCACAAAGAGAGCAGAGAGAACTGAGCTTTGCTTTTCACCTGGACATTAAGAAAATAAAAGAACACCCTCTCAGTACTGTATAATATCAGAAATATTCTCTGCAAAGAAAAAGGAAATCTCAAAAGAAACTTGAAAGTCTGTTGTGGATTTATTTATCTTCAGATTAACATTGTTAATGCATTAAATAATCTACCTTTTGTTTTAAAGGGTTTGAATGTTGCCGTGTTTCTGTAGCAGTCCTTCTCTTCTGCAAAAGAAAGTGTTATTCAGGGAAGAATACAAACTAGTGTTGGTTCACTGACAAGATAATTATTGGTTCATTATTCTGTATTTAAAGTTGGCTCAAAGTGCAGATTTATCATATGTGTGGTAGGGGCAGAGGGGTGGAGTTCAAGCAAATCATAATGTAGGGAATTTGCATATGCCCAATGTAGCTGGTGCTGTCTGTTAAATGAGGAAATAAGAACTGTTCTTCCCAAAAGGATGAGGATATCAACATGTCCTTGTAAGGAAGTTTGCTGCACAGTAGGAATCATATATGGAAAACATACATGACAGCTGTTTATGATTTTAAGTTTCTGTTGCAAAATATCTGCTAATATTATTTGCTCTTAGATGGAACTTACTAGACCTAAACAAAAGGATATTTGGAAAACGTTGGTGTTCTGGAGGATTCTAGATAGGAAGTTGTTTACACTGAAAGAAATTTAAATGTTTGTTCCTGTGCAACTGGCATGAAGGTATTCAACAGGCTGATAGTTTCTTTGGTGGAAACCAGTATTTCTGCATGGAACATAAATAGAATTCTATACAGCTCTCAAAATGCAGGATTTTATTCAGATATAATGTGTTGGAATGGTACCTGGTTTTTAATTTACTATTTTAAACTTTGTTATTGGATTCTTTAAAGTGCTTCGCCCCTTAAATCAACGGGTTGTTTAATTTTCTGTCGTTCTTGTGTATCTGAAGATTCTCACTGTTCAAACATCTTCCTGTCAGGCAGAAATAAACCTGTCATCAAGTCAGAAAATGAGAAGCTCAGCAGCCACTGCTTCCTACTGAACCACCTGACCAGGAGCTGCTTGCTCCTGCTACCCTGCCAGCTTTTTTCCAGGTGGGAGCTGAGCATTTCTGGCTCTTGCTGTGTGGAGTTTGTATGTATTGAGGTCACCTGTGGTTGAAAATATTCCATTTGTGCTTCCAGTGCTGATACAGAAGTGTTGGGATTTTCACTTAAAACCGGTGTCACAAGTTTAGCAGAGCCTCTGTGGCAGCAGGGTGCTGCTTTGTGGTGAAGAGAGGTGTCCCAGGTTGTGGTTGGTGGTGAAGGATGTTTTTAAAAGTATAAAACAGCAGTTTAGTATTGAACACAGTGGAGGTCCACAGTGTGAGCAGCTCATCACTTCCTGCCTGAGAGAATTCCATTGGGACAACTTCTATATCTGATCTTTAAGCAAAATCTTGGGGCTTATCATAACTCACAAGTCTTGTGAGTTAACTAGAAGAGATCTATGATTTTGAAGGTTTTTATCCTAATTAATCCTGCAGTGATTTTAATGCTGAACATTGGCCATTTTCCCCTCTGGTCCCATGGAAGTGTTAATGAGTAATTAGTGATGCTGTGGCTCGAGCCCAAAACAGGGTGTTTGTCACAGCCACATGTGGCACTCACAGAAGGGACTGCAAACACTGACCCCAAACCCCACCCATCCAGAAATGTGCCTGGCTCAACTCTCCTTGCCAGTGGCTCCCTTGCCAGGGGAGAAGGTATTCAGCATGCTGTCATGGAGTCAGAAATAAAACAAGAATGTCCATTTTTACTAGTTCCTGTTAGTGAGCATGGATTTACCTGCTGAGATCTGCAGGATGGTTTTCCAGCTGTGGAAATAGAAGCAAACTAATCTATGCAGCTGGTGAATAGCTTTAGATTTTTCTCTTATCTTGCCCAAAGTAGATAAAACAAATCCATGCTCACATCAAAAGGATGACAAAAATAGCTGTGTAATAGTTAAAAGTGATATATTCCATTACATATCTGATTTTTAAGAGGGCAAATGCTTTTAGAGAACTGCTGAGGTTCCTTTTCTGGCGTGGATAGTTGTGCTGTTAATGTCTGAATTCTGTTAGAAATTCGAAGTCAGGTCCCACCTGTAGAATCAGTAGATAAAGCATTCACCAAAAGTGCTCCAGGGAAGGGCTTTTAAGTCCTACTTTGATAAACACACATGGCCTGGCATCTGCACGTCTTGAGATAGCACTGAAATTAAGTCAGATTTTTAATGAAGCAGCTCCTGCCAAGTCTTGGAACTAATTGCCTGGGCTGTGGTCAGCTGAGAGGCTTCGAGAACACTCGGGCTTTCTGGTTTTAATTTGCATTTACTGCAGGGAAGGACTTCTGCTGAAATCTAGGAACACTGCGTGCTGTGCTGCTCCCAGCTTGGGCTCTCAGAGGTCCTGTGGCTGTTCCTTCCCAAGCTGCACGGTCACAAGATGTGTCCAGGGAATACTGAGTGCATGCTTTGATATGTGACTTTGATTTTGATGCATTTTAATTAGCAAAGACACAAAATGCACTTCTGAAGGCAGTGTTAGATGTGCAGCTGCAGTTCCTAGCCACAGGAGGGGTCTCTAGGCCAGTCACAGTGAGAGTTTGAAATGTTTCTAAGAAGGAATGGTTGAAGCTGTTTGTGTCCAGCCCCCAGTGCTGGTTTTGTGCCACTGAGGAGCCCCAGTGTGTGACCATCACTCCATGGTGTAACCCCAGCTGCCTCCTCCTCCCTCTCAGCTCCCCCGAGTGTCCCACAGCACAGCCACAGCCACAGCCCCGTGTTTGTGTTGTCACAGGCCATCTGTATAACCTAGGAAATGTTCTCCCTGTGGAGAGCTTAGTCCTGACAACTTGTTTAAATGTGCTATTGGAAAATAAAGATAACAAACCAGTCCTTCTTAGTTTGTCTTAAATGAGATTGTAGGTCTTTTGTATTTGGGGTTTCCTTAGTTTTTCTGGGGGGATCTCTTGTTCTGGTTGCTTTTCAGGAGTTGATTTTGGCTGACTGGGAAGGCTGCTGGTTGCCTGCAGTGTGTGGCAGTGCCCTCTGCTCCAGAGGTGTTCAAGCCTCGCTGGTGGCTTCTCAGAGCTCTGCTGAGCAACTCCAAGTAGAAATAATCTTGCTTTAGTGTCTTTCTTGGGAAGTGCTGCTGCAGGTCCTTGTCTGAGATAGGCTTTGGGATTTTGGATGGAACACTTTTACTCTGAGCAACCTGGTCCAGTGAAGATGTCCCTGCCCACAGCAGGGGCTGGGAATGGGGTGGTCCATAAGGTCCTTCAAACCCAAACCATTCTGGGATTCATGTCTGAATCCCTGAGCTCGGTGTTTCTGTAATAATCCATCTTGCTGATCATCTGCCTATTTTAATCAGAGACAAAATTATTAGTCCATGTGTGGCTGTGCTTGGATCCAGAGGTGTGTCTTGTAGTGGTATCAGCAATAGCTGCTCTTTCTTGAGATTAAAGTACAAGTTTTACTCAGTTGAATAATCTATGCTGTTATCTACTTGAAAACTTACTACTTTTGTTCAGATTCAGGTATTTAAAGCTCTTTAAGGGGCAACTTCAAGGAGCAGGAAGGAATCTGTACTTTATTATTTTGAAGCCTAACAGTTCACGGGGAATTTGGTTTAGCTTTCCGTCATAGATTCTTGGAGGTAAATAATCCTTTAATACTTAAACTTGATACCCTGAAGAGAAACAGGAGTAGTTTAATGGAAATGAAGAGCCTGAACAGGTTTAACTTGGGCGTTTGCTCCCCTGCCCTTCCCGGGCTGTACGTGCGCAAACACTTCCACGGAGCCGCTTTATAAATCGTTAAACGACAATATTTCGAAACCTTCATCTGCCATAATCTTACATTCTAAGCACTTTAAGGAATTAACACAGACGGTGGGTGCTGAGTCTCCGATGAAGAAATCTCGCCGAGCCTGCGGGGAACACGGCACCGCCCTGAGGCCAGGGCAAGTCCCGGGAAGGGGCTCTGCGGCAGCTGATGGCGAAGCTCGTTAACGCGGCATACTGCAACCCCGTCCCGGTCCCGGTCCCTGTCCCTGTCCCGGACCCGACCCCGATCCCCCTCCCGGTCTCGGTTCCTTCGGGGGCTCCGCCCGCGGCCACCCCGGCTCCCCTCCCAGAGCCAGCGGATCACGTGACCCACAGCGCGGTCCGTACCACCCCGCGGGGGAGCGCGGCCCGCTCCCCGTGTGGCACATGCGGGTCGCTGGCTGTCGCTCGTCCCTTCTCGTGTCCCCCGTGATCGGAGACCTCTGGTCCGCTCTGCGATGTGACAGCTGGGCAGGTGTAGCGCGGGAGGGGAGGATGCGTCTTCCAGACCTCCTCACACCCCACCTCCTTTGAGGTAATGGCTCCGCCCGGCCCCTGTGGACAGGGCGGCCCTGGGCCGAGCCACTGCGGCAGCCGGGGGGTGGTGGCTCCCCGGGAGAGCGGCGGGACGGCCAGCTCAGTCCCGCGGTACGAACGGGTTTCTCATCTCTCTCTTTTTTACGTTATTCTCCATCTTCTCGCTTCTCCGCAGCGGCGGCGGGCGCGCGGGCGGAGAGCTGTCTATGCCTGTCCCCCCCCCAGCTGGCGGTGGGGGTGGTACGGCCTGTGGGTCAGTCGGTGTCAGGCGCCCGCGGACACGGGACGGGCCGGGGGAGCCGCGGTGAGCGGGGGCTCCGGGCACGGGAACCGGGGCCGGGCCGGGGGTGACGGGGCACGGGGAACCGGACACTGGACGCGGCGGGACAGGCCGGCCCGGGTACGGCACGGCCTGAGGCGTTCGGGTCCGTGGGCGCTCAGCAGGGCCGGCCCGTTCCGGCCTGAGGCTCCGGGCACGGAGGGCTGCTCTGTGCGAGCTCAGCCTTGATCCAGAGGAGGCCACCAAGCTGATCAGGGGGGAAGAGAACCTGTCCTTTGAGGAAAGGCTGGAATAATTGGGATTGTTCATCTAGAAAGGAGAAGGCTTCAGGGTGACCTAATTGTGGCCTTCTAGTACTTAAACAGAACTTACAGGAAAGATGGGAAAGGATATTTACAGGGGTCTGGAGTGACAGGAGAGGGTGGAACAGCTTCAAATTGACAGCAGGGTTAGATAGGATGTTGGGAAGAAATTTGGCCTGTGAGAGTGGTGGGGCCCTAGCACAGGTTGTCCAG